AGACAACTTGTATACGTTCTCTAAATTTAGAGAACGAAGACACTACCCCTCAAAAAGCTTGAAAAATTGGAATTATATTGGATAGGTCTGAAAGACCATCTAATTCCCTTTCTAATGGCATATAATAGGTCTATCTGGAACGGATATATTATTGCAGAAAGCTAGAGAGCAAAAACTTCATTTTAGATTTCCAGATTTAAAAGCAATAACTAGGAATTATAGGATGTACTAGAATGTTCTCATTTCTTTATTTTCACACAGAATGGTGTATCTTTGACACAAAATATGCAGAACTGAATGCACTTTTCCATGAAATAATTGTAAATTCTCAATTCTCAAACACACTTTTCCCCTTCTTTGTGACTGCTGGGAAAGTGTGATTTCTGCTTTTATTTCTATTTTTAGTAACAAGAAAAATAGGTCCCACTTTAAGACAGATTGACAAAATGAAATCTATCTGCTACGACTGAAATACCATCCAATTCCCCTCCCATTGATGTATAATATGTCTATCTAGAGTAGATAGATTATCGCATGAGGCTTTAGGGTAGGGAGAACCTCTGAAACATAAATAAAAAAGCCAAAAGATTTTGATCGGAAAGAAGCAGCAATTCCCACCAGAGCACTAACAAAGGCTGGCAAAACCTGTATCTGTAACGGTAAGGCTATTTATTGTTGAGCAAACAAAAGGTGAGTTCGAGTCCTATTTGGAGAAGTATTTCATCGAATGTCTCATTCTCTGTGTTGGAACGTTTTTGACAGACTTTAATTTGGTGCTTGTTCTGTCCGTGCTCCGTTGGTTTACTGTGAGAATGGCCCTGATTCGGTTACCACATTATGTCTTTGGGTTTTTGTCTGACGAGTTTTCAAGGCTCTTCGCCTACCTTGCTCTGTTGTGGGTTTTTTTTAGATGGACTTTAAAGTTGGAAGCTTTGAAAATTAAATTACCTTTCTATTTTGAAATTTATGTCGAACCGATCATGCCATGCTATAAAGCACCGTTCTCTACCTTGTCATACCATGATATATCAAGATATATCAAAGAATAACACACGATACCATACATCCCGTACCTTACCGTCACCCCACCACACCACAGCTAACCGTACCGTGCCGTTGGTAGTCTTAAAAAATATGAGTCAATAATGAAGACATCCTCCATGAAGGTACAAAAAGCATACATTCTTTTATATTCAATCAAAACAACGAAAAGAAGAGGACGACTATCATTGCCTCTATGTGAATACAACCAGACATCAGAGTGAACCACACAATAAGAAATTATACATGCAAACACACTCAGGAACGATTTTTTTTAATTAGACAAAACAAAATGGCTAAAGTAGATTGGTAATACCGTAAAGCAAATACATGTACTCGTTTTCCTCAAATGTTGCAATTCGCAATCAATACCCTTGTGACTGTAGATGTACAGAAGTACGCCCCGATCGACACAAATTAGGTAATCGATAAGCCTTCCTGACATGGCCGACTCAGGCTGACAGAAAAAAGTTCCCAGTAGAAAGACGGAGATCTTTAAGTAAAACTTGTCTATTGCCAAACACAGTTTGAAACATTTTTTTAAAAAATAACAGAAGGACGAATAAGACAAAATTAAATCGAAACTTTATTATTCATAATATTGTGAACATCAAATGATGTGTAAGAACAAAATATATTATGTGATAAAAAAGTGCGTCCCTATATATTATTAGCTTTTTGCTGTATCATATCGGCCTAAACGTATTCTGTATCATACGGTACGATCTTTTAGTCTGAACTGAAAAGATGAAAACTTAAATCTCGTCATAACAACTTGTTGAATATTGTAAATTGTGTCAAAAGATGCGAGTAACCACCTCCAAAGAGTACATGAGTATCTCCATGAGTGTTACTTCTCCACACCCTCCATGAACTCCTCCTTCTTCTGCAGCCCATCTGGTTTATTCACTCCCTGATCCTCTTCCTCTCCTCCTCTCCCATATCCCCTTCCCCCAAAAAAGTCAATTTTCCATATAACTCACATAGTTTATATCATATCCTACTATGTACATGAATATCGATATAGGTTTGGAATAGTACCTGCTATTTACGATCGTATTAGTTGGTTGTTTTTTTTTTCTTTAAAAAATGTTTTCAAAAAGTCCTCTAAGGATATGCGTCACTACTCGCGTAGTGTTGTAGGCGTTTACTCACAGACACTAAGGCACATTCTAATTCAGTAATGCTTTATGTATACATCTTTTTGGGCCTGCATCTCTGGTATACTATGAGGCTCTGAGCCGTATCATGCAGAAGACACGAGTCTGATTTCCAGGAGGGAATGGATTTTGTTTATTTGTTTTGTGTTTTTTTTGGGTAAGTATCTCCTTCTATCTGCTGGACAGCTGTGTTTAGCAGCCCGCCTCCCGATTGACCTACACTGTGTTTTTGGATCCCAGTTATAATTATGCATATATTTTTTACACCCCAATCGACACAATTTAGATCAATGAGGAAACGAGCTTCCTAGCCTGCCTATCAGGGCCAACCTAAACTGAGAGAGATACAACATCCCTGCAGAAAGAGTCGAGATACTCGATAAACATTCTTCCCACTCGGGAATCGAACCCAGGTCTCCTGTATGCGAAAGTGAGACGTCTTTCCGTAAAACCATAGGCGACGATGAATTATTCTTGTCTATCTCAGTCTTCTTTAATATCATAACTGAAATATTATAGTTAAAGGCCCAAAACAAATTCCATCTGAACAGTGAGAAAATAAAGCAGGAAAAATATACATGCACACACATGAGGCAAGACTTTCTAAACAGAGTACACACGTGAAGGAAACAGAAGAAAAGGTTCTATAGATTTAAAAGGAAGAAAGCTTTAGCTGAAAACCCAACCAGAGAACAAAACAACGAACAAGAAAAATGACCGTAAACTGCAAGCAGAGAGGAAGTGAAATGGATTAGATTTGACAAATCCTGATCAGCATAAAACAAAACAAAGAGAGGTAATATATAGAGAAACATGAAATATATTTTTATATACATCTTACTGGTCCTTTTGCATTGATTAAAACATAGG